ATAAATGCTAATGCAATGCTATGATGATGTTATGCTAATGCAAAAACAAGAAAGAAAAGGTTGGGCAAATTTTGGGGTGCAACAAGTAGCCTCCGTTGTTAGGAAATCCCCTTCTGCTTCAGAGACTTCCGACACCTTATCATACTCTACCGACAATATCAAGATGATGTTGCAGTTCACAATGAAGTCTTCACCATAGGTATCATCATTGGTGTCGTCATACATGTCTTCATTGAAGTCGTCTTCCGGTGAGGGGTCATATTCCTCCTCCAACTGGGGAGTATACTCCGGTTCTTCTTCATCTGATTGGGGAGAGTACTCTGATTCTTCTTCGTCTGACTGGGGAGAGTACTCCGACTCTTTCTTGTTTTCACCTCCAAATGTGTACTTCGAACTCTGGGTTGACACTACCCTCTTCTCTCCAGAAGTATCGACTGTCACGGCCATTGTCTGGTTCATCACAATTTTTTCTTTTTCGACCCACCTCGCCTGTGGGTGCTGCCTTTTCAGGCTAGCAGGTCCCATAGGTTTCAGAGTCGAAGTTGAGGCTTCTCTTGCTGCCTTCTTGTTTCATTGATATCGTTTCCACTAGGTCCTTGTCATAGGATTTTTCCCTTTGTAGTTAGGGGAAACCTTGTAACCTCTAGGATCAGAATCCTTGTCTGAGGCCTTTGCCCCCTTCTCCAGATCCAAAGCCTTCCACTTCGGCTGCTTACTCCTTTGTTGGCTCACAAGCGTCATCCACTTATCTTGTGGGGTATTTGAAGGTGGCACAAAAGTCTTGGGTCGTACTGGTTGGAACAACTTTATGTACTCCTCGTTCTGTCGAGGAGCACCGCTCTGGTCGAACACGAAACGATGGATTTGTGGCTTGCCCTCTTGTAGTGCCATTTTCTTACCTATTTCTTACTTCTCAGCAGCCTTTTCGTCAAGCACGGTGTTGTATTTTAGGCACAATACGACCTTCGACCCACTCACCCTGCATTTCTCCTGGAAATCAGTCAGACTCTCGTCAGCTTGAGGGTAAACTGCCTCGAGCTACTCTTCAGTCTTCTTGTCGGGACCATCAGTAGTCTCGACCATCATGCATTCAACCATTCCAGTTGTCTAGCATTTGTTGAGACCTTCAGTAGCCTCCACTATCATGCAATCGTATAGCTCAGAATACAAAGCTTCTTCGACTTTCAGAGGATTCGTGTCCACTTGCATTTTGAGTCTTTCGCTGAATTGAAGTCGACCTTCCTTCACAGCTTTCTGCACCAAGTCCCTGAAAAGAACATATTGAGATGTCTTATGACCAAGGAAATTATGAAATTTACAAAATCCCTTTTTTTTCTTTTGTTCTAGAGGGGGATATTTTGCCCCAGGATGGACAATAATCTGACCATCTTTAACTAGCAAATCAAATATTTCATCGCACTTAGATACATCAAAAGTATACGTTTTTGCGACATATTTGTTTGTTTTTTCGATTTTAACCGGATTTTCCCTATTTTACGGTTTTAATGATTTGCATGTATACGGGGGTCCTGGCTTTAGTTCAGCCACGTTGACCACGTTATTATCGATAAGTTCCTCATCGGTAGATGAGTATTCATCAGCAACTACATACGCAACTTTCTCTTTTTTACGGTATTTGTTGACCTGAGTTTTCTCATTTTTTAGACGCTCGACCTGACGAATTCTATCGGCTAGTTGCGCCATATCCCTGAGATATTGCGTGTCTAACTTTTTCCTGATCGAATAATCTAGGCCATCAGCCGCTATTTCAACTTGTTCGCGCTCAGGGACTTGCATGAAGTATCGCGCTTTCAACAATCTAAACCTGTTAAGATACTGGTCTACTGACTTTGTAGTCTTTCTTTGACGCTGGCTAACTCTTTCAGACTAATTTTCAATTGCCCCATGTGAAACTGTTCATGAAACAATCTTTCCAATTGCGCCTAGGTCTGGACGGATTGTGGGGGTAAAGTGGTGAACCAAGTGAATGCATTTTTGGTGAGGAACTGGGGAAGTATTTCAATTTTAAATCCTCTTTGTTCGTTATGTCGCCAACTTTGATTTAGTATCTGGAAACATGCTCAACGGTGGACTCCTTGGTCTCTCCGGCAAATTTGGTAAATTTTGACACTTTCCACCCTCTGGGCAACCCTGTTTGTAGGACAAAGTCTGGTAGTGGAGACATATACTTTGGCCTTTGAAGGCTTGGATTTTCCCTGTTGCGAACCATGATTCATTCCACCATGGCTTCTAAGTTGGGTTCACCAGCCATGACTTCGTGTCGAACCTGCCTGACCACATAGTCGGGGTCATGGTTTTTATGAACTAAAACAACGGGAGGTCGTTAGGCCACCCTACGCGTGTATTCAACCTCGTGGGGCTGATGGTTAATTGTTTCGTCAAAGAATTCGTCTTGTCGAACTGGTGTCTCTGGTCGAGGTGGAGGCATCTGTCGACCTATGGCCCTAGAAACACCAAAAAAATCACCTATCAGCGTCATCTGAGTTGCCAATTTTTGGTAACTCTGAGTCAAATCATGTATTAGTTGCCTTAATATGGTGCCCATTTGTTGGGTCAGCATGTGGACCATTTCGTGGTTACTTTCGTCCATTTGTTGCCTCATAACGGTGACAAAACTTGACGTAAAAGTTGGAAACGAAAGAGATGGAACACTAAACCCTAGGGGCCTCATGACTTGGTTCGTTAAAGGTCCTAAACCCTGATAGGGGAAAATGTTGACGAAGAGCTTTCCCCAAAGAGTGGGCCACTGTGATTCAGGCTCGACATAAACCTTGTCGGTATCCCAAAGGCCCTGGGGGCTGGAATTGTGAAACTATACATTTTCTATTCACATTCTAACTTGTTCATATTTTGCTTTCTTTAGTTTCTGAATCGTTCAAATTTTGCTTTCTTTAACTTCTAACTTATTCAGATTCTGCTCTATTCAACATCTGACTTGTTTAGATTCTACTTTATTTAGATTCCGCACATTTAACAAACTATTGTAGTACAAAATTATTCTTTGTACTTTGTTATCATCAAAACTTAAGAATAATAGATGTAGAATCAAACTTGTTCCAATAGTTTTATCATTAAAACCAATGCATCTAATTATTTTATTAAGGATTGCACATTACTCAAATATGACATTTTTTATGATACTGAAGAAGTAGATTCTAAAAAATTATGTAGATTTTATAACAAAAAGTTCAAACTGGAGCACATTAACTAGTTTTATTACATTTAATAGTTATAATTGATTTAATAATTCACGTATATAAGTAGGGGTGGCAAAGTGGGCAGCCCGCTCAGTTTAGACCCGCCCCATTTAAGCCCGTCCAAAAGCGGGGCGGGGCGAGGCGGGCCAACTTAGGCGTTTGAGCTCAAAAGTCAAGCCCGCCCCGTTTAGTAACGAGTTGGCGGATTGACGAGTCGGCCCGCTAATTTTTTATTTTACAATTTAATTTACTACATAATTTACAAAAAAATATTTATTACCAAAGAGGTCGACAAAAGATTTTTTTAAGAACACATAAAAAAAACTTCAACGTGTCTTAAGTCCAAACAGTTCAAAAAATAAAATAAATAAAGACCAATTACAACAACAAAAATAATGAAATAAACTCAAGCACAATAAAAAACATATCAAAATAAATAAATAATACATATCATCCTAATCCTATTTAAAAACTAACTATTAAAAGAACCCAATTAAGAATTTACAAAAGACAAACAATGATAACAATTACATTGCATAAAACATCACATTGCATAAAATAGTAGTGCATAAAATATCAATATCTGATTTTCTCAGTGTTTACATTATATAGACTCTTTATATTGATTGATTTCTTAATAGTTAAATTCTAAATTTGTCACACGCATACACTAATCAAATCCTTCCTTTTCTTAAAATAAACATCTATTTCTAAAAAAAACATGCGAGTTAATGTTTGACAACTTAATAATTCAGCATGACATACAATTGTCTTTTATTTTAAGTTTTTCCAATCAACACATGTATTAGAAAGTTATAGAAAGAACGTAACAATTATAATTCATTTTGTTTGTATAATAGTTTATAATACAATTCAATCAACATAAACCTAAGATAAGATTGTTGTTTTTATAGTTAAAGTTGTTTTAATTCTAAGTAGAAAAATAAAAAGTTTTAACAAAAAGTCTGTGGGCAAAACCCGTCCTGCCCCTACCCGACCCGCTTTTTCAAACGGGTTAGACGGAGCGGGCTAACTTAATGTACCAAACCGAAAAATCTCAGTCCAGCCCGCCAAAAATGGCGAGTCAAACGGGCCGATCCGACGGATCTGACCTATTTTGCCACCTCTATATACAAGACATAGACGTACTCAAATACAAAGATTAAAACTATAATTAAAATTTAACGCGAAAGCAGAACAAATATATGAGCATGCATACACACATCATCAAAATCTACAAATTAATGAGTATATGAATGTTTGGATGAATTCAAAGAGAAATTTTTTTGTGTAATGACAACAGTAATCTTGAATCATAAAAGTGAGACAAGTGGTTAACAAACTCGTGGATCTTTTTCAACGGACACTTCTAATGCATTGCATTGAATATTTTTCATATAAAAGAATAATTTACTTGTATTAGGTGTATTAGAAAGGGCAACCCATATATATATAAGGCGATGAACAATTAAAAAGGCGATGAACAATTAAAATGATGATCATCAATCAACATTAAATCATCTTTATTTTTTTATTTTGGCAGTTAAGTAACAAATAGCTTAAATGCATTAGCATGTCACTCCTTTTTGATTTACTAATATACATATATATAGGGCTCCCTTTCTATAAAGTAAAATAAAAATATTTTAAAAATATATATTTATTTGTTACATAGTATTTTCCAAAAAAATGATTTAAAAAAAAAAGTAGAACCTACAAATAAAAGAAAAATGTTTTTGAATAGATTTTTTCATAAAATGATTTTTGTTATTATTTTTCTAAATGATTCATAAAATGTATCAAATTCCTCTCTCTGCATTTCAAAACCAAAACCCATTATCAATGTCATTCATCAACCACTCACCATCATCTTCTTCCCCTTTCACCATTGCCACTTCTATGGGATTCACTGCCACCACTTCAAATCTCACTTTCAAAACCACAACTACTTTCCCTTTCTCCTCCACCAGAAACCGCTCCCGTTTTGCCTTAGTTGTCAGAGCCAAAGCTGAAACCGATTACTACTCGACTTTAAATGTTAGCAACAACGCTTCTTTGCAAGAAATCAAGAGCTCTTATCGGAAACTTGCTCGCAAGGTTTGATTTTTATTACTCTATTTTTAAATATGAGTTTTGCAGTTTGTTCTATGTTTTGATTTGTTTAAGTGATAATTTTGATGCGGGTTTTGGGGAAATGGAGTAAAAAGTGGGAAATTGGAACCTGGGTTGTTGAGTTTTGGATAAATTTATGCTGGAATTGTTTTAGCTTGTTGATGTAACTGCTTTGTAAAATTGAGGATTCCCATTGGCTGTAACCACAATGGGTTTTGAAAATTTTGTTTTCATGAAGTAATGTCATTTGAGTATGCAAAGATATCACAAGCTTACATAGATTCTCGAGTTTAACAATCATGCTAATTGGAAATTGAGTTTGTTGACTTAAATTAGCAATTCAGAAGCTGTAAAAAAATCCTATAAGCCGTTTGGTCCATATATAGTTTACAGTAATATACAAAGTAAGGTTGTGTTTGTTTTATGTTTCGGGAGTGTTGGTTCATTACACAATATTAGAGTCTTAATGACTTCATATGGTCAAGAATTCAATTTTTTTGTCACTACAAAGGTTGAATTTCAGCATTAGTTAGGACTTTTTATGGTTCATAACAATGTTTCTATTTTTTGGGATCAGTACCATCCAGATATGAACAAAAGCCCTGGAGCAGAAGAGAAGTTCAAGGAGATTGGTGCTGCATACGAGGTAATTCTTCTACCACTACAATGATATCTTGGATTCTTCAAAATCGAAGACATATCTGTATCAGATACCGATACTTCGCGGTTACATAGCCTAGAAGTATCGGATTTATTTATTGGATTTTTAACAATTATTTAGTGTATTTTAATCGCAAGTATGTTTTATTTGTAAATTGTGATCATTATAATTATATTTTAATGAAAAATGATCAATGAATATTCTCTACAAGTATTTTACATGTATAAAATATTTGTTAGCGTATCTAGGCTGTATCATATCCTAAGTTTTCAAAATTTTCACGTATTCGTATCATATCTCACCCGTGCTCTGTATTCAGGCTTCACAGTCAACTTTACATGATCAAACAGCTTATTTATTTAACCGACTGCTACACTATACTTCATACCATATATAATTGTTTCTATTTTATGTTCCACTATTTCATTTTCTTATGGTCTTAGCATTGGCATTGTAATAAGCTAATGATTCCTCCATCTAGTATACAAGGCTGAATTAATGAAATTTATGGATACTAATCTTATTTTGTGGATTATAACTTTTATGTACCATATTTGTATCTGTCTCTTTGTGTTCACTTGGTAACAAAGTATGCAAATAGGTTCTATCAGATGATGAGAAAAGATCTTTATATGATCGCTTTGGTGAGTCAGGTCTAGAAGGAGAAAATGGAGGACCCGCCGGTGCCTCAGAGGTAGGTCTATATTCAAGTATTTTTCTTTCTGCAATGTCAAAATAAACTAAAGACCTCTTTGATTTGGTGTTTGAGTTGATCAGGTTGATCCTTCTGATTTATTCAACGCATTCTTTGGTCGTTCGGATGGACTATTTAGTGATGAAAGAGGCTTCGGCTTCAATATGAGAAACAATAGAAACCGTGACCATGATATTCGGTAAATTTCGTTTCTTGTTACAGAGAAAGGCAGTTGTCATTTGTCATCAGTGTAACTTAATTTTATTCTACAATGCAGGTATGACCTACGTTTGAGCTTTGAAGAATCTATTTTTGGAGGAAAGAGAGAGATAGAGGTTTCTTGTTACGAGACATGTAATAGTTGTGATGGTACAGGAGCTAAATCAAAGAGTTCTATTAAAAAATGCATACGCTGTGGTGGCAAAGGAGGAGAGAAGAAAACCGAGAGAACGCCGTTTGGGATGATGTCTCAGGTAATTTGAATTAAATAGATTTAATAAGCGAGTGACTATATTCCTAATTATATTTAAATTACCAGTGGGATTATAACAAGAGTAGTACATTCAATGATGACATGCGACATTCAGGTGTCTACATGCTCTAAGTGCGGTGGTCTCGGCATGATAATCACGGATAGCTGTCGAAAGTGTGATGGCAATGGTCGTGTGCGAGCTAAACGAAAAGTGGAAGTGGTCATTCCTCCCGGCGTCAATGATGAAGACACAATGCAAATTCGAGGAGAAGGGAATTTTGATAAGAAAAGGTTAGCAGCATGGAACTATTGATTTGCAACCAGAAGCAGAAAAATGGTCAGAATCATTATTATCAACTCATCTAAGCGCGCGTAGCGCTGACTATTAGTTTGATGCATTTTTTCAGGCAATATACTGGGGATCTTTTTGTTGTCCTCCATGTGAATGAAAAGAAAGGAATTTGGAAAGAGGGTCTCAATTTATTCTCAAAGATTAACATTGACTTCACAGAGGCAATACTAGGGTCTGTTAAAAAGGTATTAATTAACCCGGAAAAATGGCAGCAATTAATAATACAAAATGGAGACGCTTGTTGATTTAGATAAATTATATTCTTTTAGAACTTTGAGTGTTGTTTTGATTTTAAACTTGTTATTCCAGGTAGAAACGGTTGAAGGTTTACGGGATCTCGAAATTCCTTCCGGGATTCAACATGGACATTCAGTGAAACTATCACGTTTGGGAGTTCCAGACATGAAAAAACCATCTATTCGGGGTGATCATTACTTTGTTGTAAATGTTGTTATTCCAAAAGATATCAGGTCTGTATTTTTTTTCCTTACCATCTTTACTGCTTTCTATTATCTGTTATAAAACTGAAGTGGTTTCATTCATTCTCTTCAAATCCGTGTTCTAGTGGCATGGAACGCACACTTGTTGAAAAATTAGCTTCGTTGAGAGCATCTAGAAAAGGCCGTTCGTTTTCTTCTGGTAATAGTTCATTTTATTTGGTGGATACTATTGGATGAAAGTTAACTTTTTAAAATTATGCTCAACATAGGCAAAAGAATAAATATTATTCTAGATTTTTCACAAATGTATTTTTTCAGGAATATTCAATGATTTCACGAAGAAGGATACGGAAAGTGATGTCACAAGCAAGGGAACCGAAACTGCAAAGTCTCTTTGGGGATCAATCAAGAACTTCTTAAGGTAGGTATAATAGAGCTATGTATGTGCTAATTCTGGTTGAATACTTTTAAGAAATGTGGTTGGTAACTCAACCATACAAAACCAACCTGTAGAGTGAGGATTATTCCCACTTATAAGTATATGTTCAGGTCATATATTGTATGATGTGGTTTTAACACACTGGACATCTGAATCGTAGAAATAAATAGTGGGTGACCAGATATCAGAAACCTGATAGCAGGTGGTCTACCAAATTTTAAATCAGGCTCTTGATACCATGTTAAGAAATGTGGTTGAGCCTAACTCATCCTTACAAAATTGATTTGTATGGTTGAGTTAGATCCAACCACATTTCTTAACATAGTATCAGAACGAAATTCTAATCCTGGGACATGTGGATTATGGGCCCACCACGCTTTCGCTGCGTCATATATTATATATTGTCCGATGTTGGATTCTTAACTACTGGGAAAAACTCAAGTCCCACATTAATTAAAGATAGAGTCCACAAAGAGTTTATATAGAGTGACACCTCTCATCTTACAAGCCGATTTTTGTAATGATAAATTAGACCAAAACTCTAATTCTATCAGGCAAAGAATGCTACACATGCACCTATTTAAAATTGGACTATAATTATAGATGAAATGAAGATTCACGAAGCTTTTCAAAAACCCGATGTATGTTTGGTTTAAAAAATGTTTTCTATTTTTATTTTCTTGTTTTCTCTCTTAATTATCAAAGTATCTCGTGTTTTTAGTGTATATTTGGATAATGTTGAGTTTGAAGAAACCACTGTGTCAATGATTTTGACAAAATTTACACTTTAGAGCTTTTAACAAAATTATTGTGACACTGATTTCAACAAACTTATTGTTGTTTCCTATTTGCAATCTTCCGAGTAGAAATCGCTTTGAATAATCGATGCCTACTTTATTTACAGGAAAGGAAACTCGGAAGAAAGGTTTGCATCAATTAGCCAAGATACATCAACAATGTTGTGGAGATTTGACCGCCAAAACTATTTAGTTCCACACTCCATTTTTCTTGTTATATTTATAACATGGATTTTTAACTCTATAGCAAAGTCTAAGAACTTGAAAAGAACCTAATCCTTCATTTATAGAATAGAACACAGCAAAAAAAACATATAGGATCTGTTTGGTAAAAGAAAGTGGAAAATGAAAGGTTTTGGTTTTCACACCTTCATGCTTCTTGGAAGAGGTCTAGATGATGTATTTCAAGAGACCAAAATTGAGAGAACCATCCATCCTATTTCATTTTCAAACAATGGTTGGTGATTTTTCTCCGAAATTCTCACCTTCCTTTATGTTCTTCCTCATTGTATAATGCTCCAAGTTTGAAACTATGTATCATATATGTTCTTTTGTGTTACATAGCTATCATATGTTATATGTGATCTGAATTGAATTTGTCAGATGAAGATGCATTATGATGAGGATAATACTAGCAGAAGTACCAAATAAGTTAAGGGTTAAAAAGAGGAGGTTGTACAAGGTTCAAGATCCCACAAAAGTGTATATATAATACTAAAAAGATTTAATTATAACATTTTAAGATCAAATAGTTTTGGTCTTTCATTCATATTTCTGCACTTAAAATTGACTATGTCAAATCATAATATAGGAACGCCAAGTGGAACTTTATTGATAAATAAAGTATATGTTAAAATGTTTCATCAATTTTTATTTAGTGTAAAAGAGTGAAAGGGAAATTAAAATTGTTTGAATCTAAAATAAGGGGATGAATTTTATATCTGGCAAAATAATAATTTCTACTAAGATAGAGATTACTTGTTAAGAAATAGGAATTAATAGAATTAAGAGTAAGGGTAATATTTTGAAATAAATTGACGAAAAGGGCAAAATATCAAGTCATACAATACAATAGAATAAGGCAATAGACATATTGTTGTGTGAATGCGTAAGAACTCCTGATTAACTCGGGGTTTGCTCTTGGTGTAAGAGCCGTTCATTTTAAAATGTAAAACTGTATTTTTTAAATTTAGAAGTATATTTTCGTACATATAAAATATATCACATTCTTTTGTAGGTGAGTCACTCATTCTATTTTGTTAAAAATTAGTTCGAAAAATGTATATTTTTATTGATGAAAGAGTGAGTTTGTATGCACACTTTTTAAATAACTTTTGAACTCATAGTAGTGTGTTATTTCATAACTCAGAAAATAATTCAAAAGTATATTTTTGTTATAATGTTTAAACAATAAGAAAATTTTATCTCATATCCCTATTTTTATTCATATGTTCCTATATTTCATAAAAAATACTAATTTTGCCTTTGTATATTTTGAACAAATTTATTATTTTTTAAATATATTTTTTAAATTTTATTTTGTGTACCGGAAGACTTTATAAAAGAGTTTCGGTAATCATTTTTTTAACTTATTTTTTTGTGTACCGGAAAACTTTGCAAAAGAGTTTTGGCAGTCAATTTTTGTGTTTTAGAAGACTTTATAAAAGAGTTTCAGTAGTCATTTTTTAAAACTTTTTTATGTGTATCAGAAGACTTTGCAAAAGAGTTCTGGTAGTCATTTTTTAACTTATTTTTGTGTGTACCAGAAGACTTAGCAAAAGAGTTTTGGTAATCAATTTTTATGTACGGGAAGACTTTACAAATGAGTTCCGATATTCATTTTTAAAAAAAAGTTTATGTGTATCGAAAGACTTTGCAAAAGAATTTCGGTAGTCAATTTTTGTGTACCGGAAGATTTGGCAAAAGAGTTCTGGTAGTCATCTTTTAGAATATTTTTTAACTTTTATTTTGTGTACCGAAAGACTTTGCAAAAGAGTTCTGATGATCAATTTTTGTGTACCGGAAGACTTTACAAAGGAGTTTCGATAGTCATTATCTAAAACATTTTTTAACTTTTATTTTATGTACTGAAACTCTTTTGCAAAGTCTTCTGGTATGCAAAATAAAATTTAAAAAATAGAATAATAAATTAATTAAAAATATATAAGGATAAAATTGATATTTTTTATAAAATGTAGGGGTATAGAGATAAAAGTAGGGGTATGAGGTAAAAATTTTAAGCAATAAGTTTGTTATAAATTTGACATTTTTTAAGAAACCTTATATTTTAGGTCATTTATACTAAGTATACTATCAAAGTAAATTTGTTATTAAATAAAACATGCACTGATGTAATTCAAATTTCCTATATTAATTCAATTAAAGTCCATAATCAAACAACATTCTTGATAAATTAAGAACCATAATACAAATATTATCAAAATAGAAGTAAAAGTGAACTACCAAATATATCTGGCTCCCCCTTTCCCCAGTTCATTCTTTCTCTCTTGTACTACAAGGCATTTTACGCCTCTGATTAGAATGGTCTCTATAGTGGCCCTTACAAGACTCCATTTAGGAAACTTTCATCTCTATATTCGCTCGCGTAATAGCCATAATACGCTGACATGTAAGTAACACATCAACGACATGATCTGCCACAATCTTTTCCTCCTCTAATATCTCTTGATGAGTTGACCTAGATGGATCCCCATGAGCATCTGATTTTATGTAAGGATATGACACTCTGAAATACCATTAGATATAGTTGAAAATGTACTACTCCATAGTTGAAGAGCTAACACAATTTGTACTTCCACTAGTACCAAATGATTATAAAAATTATCAAACATCGCATCAACATCTCTATGGACGATAGTGGGAGAAGCAAACAAGGTGGGGTCTCTTAGAATTTCCTATTGAAAGTTAAACTGACGCATGACTCACTCTGGAAGATATGGATAAATCAGGCATGATCCATGAGCCAATCATCTAAAGTAGAGGATTATGTCATCCAAGGTACGCATCTAACAATGATCTTCGTACTATGTGTAACATATATCATCTGCTGCAATGCGGTCAAGAAACACATGGAACGACTCGATCACATGATTCCCTCTGTGCGGGACAAATGTGCAAGCACGTGGCTAAACTCATTGTATTCCTCCTCATATGACCAACCAAAGATGCGTGGAAAGCGAGAGAGCATTCATGTCTGAAAACGGTACAGATAAAATATTACTCTATCTGTCTCATAAAAAGTGTCTTATTTGAGATTTGAGCGGTTTTTAAGAAAATGAATAGATGTGTTGATTTTAATGATAAATTTAATATCATGTACTAGAATATTATTACTAATTGTAGTTAATAAAATAGTTAAATAAAATGAAAGTTAATAAATAGGGGTATAAGTGTGAGAAAATAATAATAAATGTTTTATTGATATTGTAAAAAGACAATTATATTGAGACATGCAAATGTGCAAATGATACAATTTTTATGAGACAAATTGAGTAGCAACGAAGTAGCACAAGTTTTATGAAAAATTAATAACAGTAAATGATCTTATCGAATCAGAAAATGATCTTACCGAATCAGAAAATGATCAGCAGTTGGCAACACGTCGTGAGCTCCTTAATTCGTTGGTGGTGGAGAAGAAGAAGAGGTGTGCCTGCAAGGTACTCAAATGTCAAAGTAAAAGACATAGTAGAAAGAGCAAGTACATAGAAAGTGTGTAGAGAATTGAATACTTGACTATTTAGTGAAATAAGGTATTTATAATATGCCCCCAGCGCGGGGCCAACGGTTACTTTGCATTGGGTTGGATTGCTAGGCCCAATACGCGTAAATGTCAAGGCTTACGTGGCGTAAGGAAGACTAGCATGTGGTCTTCGCCCTGGGTCAACTGCCTCGTGATATTTAGAAGGTGGGTAATTGCATGATGATGTGTCCCCGCATGGGGGACATGTGGAGACCGTGAGGGAGACATGTGAAAGCTTCCCGTGTATGCTGATGGATTGGGCCTTCGTTGGACCCTACCGGACGAGGAGCAGTGTTAGGCTGTGCCCGACGGTGGGCCAGCCTCTGGCCCAATCTAGAATAGTAAAGGTGCAAATATATTATCGTGAATAGTGTGTTGCTTGTTGTCATATATCTAATCTTCCAAAGACAAACTTCACCTAATTTCAAGTAGAGGTAAACCAAACAAGCGGTCACTCCAATCATATGCATGAATTTGTTCGAAGTCAATGAAGTATATAAGATAAACCATGTCGATATAATAAGTATTTTTGTCTAAAAATATAGATGTCCAAATCAAATATATGTTGTATGACCTCAATGCACATGTTCTATGATAAGAAAACATAATTTTTTTTTGAAAAACCACCCTAAAGTTAAATATACTTTTTTTATCAAATAGTTTAATAACTAAAATTTTACCACTTAAAATATCTAAAAATACACATATTTAATTAGTTAACTATTATATAAAATTAGCTTTAAAAATAAAAAATCTATACTGTCAAAATGGATATCACTCGTAACTATAATTTAAAAAAAAATGATACACTAATGGTATAAATTTATTTTATACTAACAATCAATTACGATGATATATATTATCAATTCAAAATTTTAAATTACTTATATAACATATAATAAAATGATATATTTTACTTAAATGACAAGTAAAATGTAAATTTAGAAGAAAAATAATTAACAGAGACATTAAAGAAAATAACATGTTGTCAATAAAGAAAATAACACTTACATAATTCTCGATATTTGCGATTGTGCCTCTATGCGTTTTACCCATTGTCAATAGAGACATTATAATTGATTTAATGTTTCTAATACTCTAAACTTGATAAAATGTTTTTGATTTAATGTTTCTCTGCAACAATGGCTCAGATGATGTATCATTTCATACCTCTAGCTTCCTTATATAGCATTATAGGACTCACATGTGAAGAATACATGATGCATGGTGTCACCACATGAATTGGCGATTGTGTTCACTCCTTATAAAGGGCCATCAGTCCATTTTGAGACTTCTGGGAACCTAAACCTAGTTGTGCATGTAGTCTGAAGTTGTCCCATGCATACATAACAATCTGACACTCACATGGCGACACTGTGTGCTCAGACTACACCTTGTCTCCATGTGAGTTGGCGACTCCCTTTCAAATCTTGTACCATATTGCCAATTCATATGGAGACCTCATTAAATGCTCTCATGCATATTTATCCAACCAAAAATAGTAAGTCTATAACAA